TGTGTGTGTGCGTCGTCCCACAGTGGAAGCGTAGCAAGTATCGTAGATTAGGTAGCACCTAATCTACACCCGGAGGCACGAACACACGAGAAAAGAGCTGCGAGCGATGCCGGAAAATACACCGCGGCTAAATATTTACTCAATTACAGGAATTATGTAAATGTCAACCGATCCTCGACCTCGGTGTCATCAGAACACTAAATATTACATCCACTCTGAGACTTTGGGAATCTTCGAGCCTCTCAACCTGTTGCTTTAAAGAATTCTGATGACCTTCAAAAGCAGCCTGTTTGTGGAGCGAGTGCTTTCGGATGTACTTGGCCTTCAGACGCAGCGAGAGGGGCGCCACTCCAAATTACACAGCTCCTCCGGCGGCGGAGGCCAGTTGTCCCCTATATTCTGGTCACATCGAGCAGCAGGAGGGTGGCTCGGGGGATGAGGTCATTGCATCAGCAGCAGCAGCGTTTCTGCAATCTCTCCTCGCCGAACAGCCGCGTTCTCCCGCTGAGCTGCGCACAGAACGCATGTTGCCTCCATCTGATTTCAAAGCGAAAGATGATATTCCTCGCGCTCGCCTTTCACCCGGGCCTCGGCATCACAATAGGCATTTCGATTACTTGTTATGCCATATAATTTTCCATCGAAGGCAGAGCTGTCAAAGAAACAGCCAACTTTGAACCTCATCCCAGAGACAAATTTATCGTGATTGATTGTTATTATATATGGAGGTGCAGAAAGCGATTCTATCATGCCGGGGAAAAAAAGAGATGGAAAATCATCCTCCTCGTCCTCGCTGATAAAAAAGTTTGCAGAGATATGAGTTTTCCAAGAGTAAGTGCCAATAAAGTACTACACACAAATAATTAAAGACCCTCAAGATAAATGATGTTCAGCATCTAATGGCCGTGAGACTGAAACCCAAAAAAAGCATCAGAGAACTGCTTACTGATGCTGATATATTGAACACAAGTCTGTCTGGGTGAAGCACTTTACTGTTTTTAGACATGTGTACTTTGTGTTGATTCAGTGGATGTTTTAAAAAGCCTACCTTTTTCAGTTAAAGAGATAGTTCACCCAAAAATCACCCTCAGGCCATCCAAGATGTAGGTGACTTTTTATTTTTAGTAGAACAGTAAAGAAGATTTTTAGCTGAAACTGTGGTCCTTGGTGATTCATAAAATGCAAGTCAGCAGCTAAAGAAAGCACTTCAAGAGTCAAAAAAGCATATCAAGGAACACTAAATGAATACCCTTTTTTCCTGACGATATATTGAGGTCTTATGAAGCGAAAAGATCAGTCTGTGCAAGAAACTGATTATTATTTACAACATTATTACCTGTAACCCAGAGCCTCAGGCAAACAGGGAAATACGATTATTTTCCTCAAACTGATTCTTTCGGACAGTTTGTTTCAATGAACTGGTTCAATTCACTAGTTCATTTACCTGAAGCGCTGAATGACTCATTCATCACAGGATCATATATGCCACTAGTTTGGCTCATTTCGAGTCAGAGTGACTGTAAGGTGTCTGAAAGTGAGTTTTGATTGAGTGGAATGAACTTGTAGAGCTGTGCTGCTCGAGCCGCAAACTGTTTCAGATGTTCAGTCCGATTTGATGAATTGCTTCAACTTGTTCACTAAAAAGAACCAGTTCAAAAGAATGGTTCCTTCACGAACTGAACATCACTCCTGACCGTTTGCCCGAGGCTCTGGATTACAGGTAATAATGCTGTAAATAATGTTCAGTTTCATGCACAGACCATAAGATAAGATCTCAATATATCATAAGGAGCCACAGGGACTAATTTAGTGTTCATTGATATGCTTTTTTTATTCTCAAAAATGGTCAGTCACCAAGGACCAGAATTTCAGGTAAAAAATCTTCTATACTGTTCTGCTGAATAAAAAAGTCACCTACAACTTGGATGGCCTGAGGTTGTGTAAATTAACAGCAATTTATTTATTTTTTTATTTTGGGTGAAATATCCCTTTAAGCTTGGATGTAAAGCTTTCTTTGCGTGCTTCTAATCTCAGCACAGACTGCATTAGTTATAATGTGCATCCATAAAGGACAATTGCACATAATCCCTGATGAGCCCACACTCTATTTACCAAGTTGGAAAAACAGAGAGTGTTGGATGCGGTTCAAATCGCTGTCTCGTTCAATCCCCACCGCGTCAGTCAGAGCCGAACGCTGTATGCCAACAGCAGAGCAGCACTTGCCATTCTGACGGCCGAAGTCAAATATGCTGGATCTCATTTGTATACAGATCACAGGCCATGCTGTAATACTCTCGCGTTCACCCAGACAATGGAGCCATTGTGAATTAGGATCAGTTGCACATGTCTCGCTGCTATACGGACATGCAGCACGCGTGTGCACCGCATCACGGGCTGGACCGCAACCCAACAATACTGCAAGCAAACTCTCTAGTGGACCTCAGTGTGGAAATGCATTCATGAGGATTAGAGTTGCTGGAATTGCAGATATCCGGGAACAGGCCAGATTGCGTGCATTTAAAAAAGGCGATTTAGATTTATCATGTAATGCTGTTGCTGCTATTGTGAAGTCAGAAAGACCATCAGATTCCATCCCATAATTATTTGCAACGCTTACAGTGGTGCACATAATTATCTAAAAAAAAATCAGTATTGTTTGCTCTACAGTAGATATCTGCTAATCCAAAGCACTCGCAATCCAAATATCAGCAAACAATCATTTAGCTGCTAATTGCAAAGCTAAACAAATTCACGGGATCTCTGTAGCTCTGGGTTGCACAAGTGGTGTTCACTACAAGAAGTTCAGCAATTACTAAGGATATGTGTGTTATTTTACCAAGTGATCAGACTTCTAATGTTTACCTGCTGGACTATAAAACTGGTGAAAGAAAATATCATAGACACACATCGGTTTAAGGTATGAGGGTGGACTTTTCTCACACGACAGTAATAAAAACACCCTAGCAACCACCCAAAACATCCTAGTAAGCAAAGACAACACCCTAGCAACCACCTAGAACACCCTAAAAATCCCCAAGAAGACCATAGTAGCCACCCAGGATGCCATAGCAACCTCCCAGAATGACCTTGTAACTTCTTGGCAATGCTTTAGCAACCACCTAAAAAAAAAACCTAAGAACCACCTAGGATTCCACAGCAACCATTCGGAACACCTTAGTAACCACCCAGAATGCCCTAGCAACCACCCACAACACTGTAACAACAAACCAGAATGTCCTAGCAACCACCCACAACACCTTAATAACAACCAAGAATGCCCTAGCAACCACCAAGAACACCCTTACAACCACCCAGAACACCCTAACAATGTCGTAGCAGCCACCCAGAAGACCCTTACAACCACCCAGAATTGCCCTAGCAAACACACAAAACACCCTAGCAACCATCTGGAACACCCTGGCAACAACCCAGAGCACTCTACTGTTGCAACAGCCCATAACACTAAGGTAACCACACAAGACAAACCAGTAACCACCCAGAATGCCCTAGCAACCACCCACAACACCGTAATA